TTCTTCTTCTTCTTCTTCTTCTTCTTCTTCTTCTTCTTCTTCTTCTTTTGAGAGAGAGAGAGCACAAATAAGTGAGGGGTCAGAGAGAGAGAATACCAGGAGGGGCAGAGAGATAGAGAGAGAGAGGGAGAGAGAGAGCAGCAGGGCTCACCTGAAGCCGGGCTTGAGCTCACCCGACGTAGGACTTGAACTCACCAACCGTGAGATCATGACCTGAGCCAAAGTCAGATGTTTAGTGACTGAGCCACCCAGGTGCCCCTATGTGCCATCTTTCCCTTCATCTTCTCCCATTCCTCCCTCAAGGACAGAATCTATCTATTCTAATGACACTTGTTTCCTCTGTGAGACCTTTCTTGAGCTCTCTTTCTCTAAACTCCCATAGCACTTTGCCTGGATTCCTTTTATTTAATGTAACAAACACTACTAGTGCTCACTCTGTACCTGATGACTGTGCTAAGTGCTTTAAAATTTAACTCACTTATTCCTCACAACAATCCTTGGGGGCGGGATTAATATCACTCCCATTTTACAGATGGAAGAACATTCAGGGAGTTAAGTAACTTCTACAAGAGAGTTAAGCACTAAATGCCAGAACTGGTGTCTGAACCCCAGCTGTACATTCTGAACATGCCCCTGTCATGCCCCTTAGTATGATGGATCTTGGATTTGGTGGTTTTTGTTTTTTTTTTTTTTTAATGTTTAATTTTGAGAGAGAGTGTATGTGTGAACTGGGAAGGGGCAGAGAGAAAGGAAAACACAATCCGAAGCAGACTGCAGGCTCCCAGCTGTCAGCACAGAGCCCAACGCGGGGCTCGAACGGACGAACCGTGAGATCATGACCTGACCCGTCGGACGCTTAACCAACTGAGCCATGCAGGCGCCCTAAAATCACATGGCTAATTGATGCAAAGTCATCCAACACAGAAGGCTCTACCTGGGACCTAAGTAGGAAAGGAAATGCATTATTCCAAACGCTAAAACGGCCTTGGGGCAGGGAGAATGCAGGAACCACACTCAGATGAATGGCAGCAGGAGGAGGATGGGTGAAATGGACAGAAGGTAATGATATCTTTAAGTGTAAACAGGCCCCACCCAAAGAGACAGTACTAACTAAAACTTCAAAATTTTAAAACTGAAACCAAGATAAATACGCCTAATCATGAGGGAACTCCGTTCTGCTTTGTGGTTCATCACAGTGAAGTTTAGTTATGAACCAAACTGCCTATGTGTGGAAACTTAGATGTGCATAAAATAGGAGAGAGAGGCGCCCTTGCAAATGCTGGAGAAAAGGAGAGGTGGACAGTAAAGGACTATGGGTCTAAGGAACATGGAAAGAGAATGCGACCCCTTGCCTTTTCTTTGCCTCCTCCCCCTCACCTTTGCCAGCTCACATACTGGCTGGCCAGGTGTGACGATGTTCTGGGTTCTAGTCCTCTGCTTCCAAGCAGCTGCGTGACATTGGGAAGGTCTCTCCATCTCTAAAAGTCTGTTTTTGTGTCTACAAGACCAGTGCTCTAACCCTTGAGCTATGGAGCCTGTTTTTACAGTGTCTGCAAAATCACAGGGCTAGACCACAGCATCATTTTTGTATTTGTTGTTAGTTTCTATTTCTTCTTCTTTTTTTTAAATTGGGGTAGGGGTGCCTGGGTGGCTCAGTCTGTTAAGCTTCTGTCCGACTTCGGCTCAGGTCATGGTCTCACAGTTTGCGGGTTCGAGCCCCATGTCAGGCTCTGTGCTGACAGTGCAGAGCCTGCTTGGGATTCTCTCTCTCTCTCTGCCCCCCTCCCCAACTCGCAAGGTCACACTCTAAATAAATAAATACATACCTAAGAAAAACTCATAAATTGATGTAAAATTCACATGACATAGAATTAACCACTTTAAAGTGTACAGTCCAGTGATATTGAGAACATTCACTACATTGTGCAATCACCACTTCTATGTAGTTCCAAAACATTTCCGTCACCCCAAAAGAAAACCCCGTACCCATTAAGCAGTCAGTCCCCTTGCCTCCTCCTCCTCCCAGCACTTGGCAATTGCCAATTTGCTTTCAGTTTCTATGGATTTACTTGTTTTACATATTTCATATGAAAGGAATCATACATCTGGCCTTTTGGGTCCGGCTTCTTTCACTCAGCATAATGCTTTTTTTGAGCTCATCCCTCTTACAGTAGGTATCAATCCTTCATTCCTTTGTATGGGATTAATAATATTCCTAAAGACTACAGTACGATTTTGAGTTCCAATAGTTTGACCCCCTTTCCTTTTCAAACATCTGTTCATAAACACATTATGAGCAGCAATTAAAAAGCAGGCAGGTACTAAGGGGAAATACTTGGGGTGCCTGGGTGGCTCAGTCAGTTAAGTGTCCGATTTGGTTTCGGCTCAGGTCATGATCTCATGGTTCGTGGGTTCGAGCCCCACATTGGGCTCTGTGCTGACAGTGCAGTGCTTGCTTGGGATTCTCTCTCCCTCTCTCTCTGCCCCTCCCCTGCTCACTCTATCTCTCTCTCAAAATAAATAAATAAACATTTTTTAAAAATAAGGGGAAATTGTTGAGAAATGTGTAGCCCCTTGCTTTATATTTATATATATATATAAATTTATATATATAAGTTTATATATAAACATATATATATAAATTTATATATATATATAAAGCAAGGGGCTATAAATATATATAAGCATATATATATTTGCTTATATTATATTTACATATGTTTTTTAATATATATAATATATTAAAAAACATATGTAAATATAATATAAGCAAATATATATATGCTTATATATGTTTAATTGGAGTATAACATTTAAAAGTGCCCAAGTGTAGAGCTTCATGAATGCTCGCAAAGTAAATACAACTATTAACTTTAAGCTGGGTCAACACACAATATATTATTCACACCCCATTCTTGTCTTCTCATTACCTGGCCCCAATTCTCTCTTTCTCAAGGTACCACCATTCTGACTTCAAACGCTATACGTTAGGTTTTCCTGTTTTTGAACTTCATGTAAAGGGCACCACAGATTATCAATGTTTCTACATCTGGCTTCTTTCACTCAGTATCACGTTTGTGAGACTCTTGCACTCTGTTGCATGTCATCGCGGTACATTCATTCTCGTTGTACGGTATTAATAATATCGCAATCTACTTATCCGTTCTGTGGGTGATGGGCACGTGAGTAGTTCTAGCTCTGTGCCATATAATAGTGTTGCTGTGAACATTCTAGCCTGTTTTCATAAACTGATGCTCACACATCTTTTGGGCATATGCCTAGGACTGAAATTATTTGAGTCATATATTCAGCTTTACTCATACGGACACAGAATTTTCCAAAATGGTCAGACCATTTTTGATTCTCATCTCTTGCTTCTAAGATAATCCTTTCCAAAGCATGGGGCTAGTACCCACCGCTGTACTAGTGTTGCATAAAAGGATCTATGTGAGGAGCAAAACAAATAACATCAGGCTCCAAAGTGAGAAAATTATTGCCCGTTTAACGCTCTTTCAGTCCTTCTGATTACATAAAGAGAATCCCATGTGATGCCATGTTGCTAGCTACCTCTCTGTTTTTATAAGAAGTCTCGGACTCTCAGCAGGCAACTGTATCTACTTGATACTTAATAACATTTTGTTTTAATGTATTTGTTTTAATTACTTTCTACTTATTGCAAGTGATAAAAGGTTTCTCATTTTAGTTATTTAGCATTTTCTTTCAAATAAATTCATTTAAGGGGTCGCTGGGTGGCCTCAGCTGGTTAAGCATCTGACTCTTGACCTCAGCTCAGGTCCTGATCACACTGTCAAGCCCCGTGTTGGGCTCTGTGCTTGGCGTGAAGCCTACTTAAAATAATAATAATAATAATAATAATAATAATAAATTCACTTAATTTTTTTCTTTTTTTTTTCAACATTTTTTTTTAATTTATTTTTGGGACAGAGAGAGACAGAGCATGAACGGGGGAGGGGCAGAGAGAGAGGGAGACACAGAATCGGAAACAGGCTCCAGGCTCTGAGCCACCAGCCCAGAGCCCGACGCGGGGCTCGAACTCACGGACCGCGAGATCGTGACCTGGCTGAAGTCGGACGCTTAACCGACTGCGCCACCCAGGCGCCCCTCACTTAGTTTTTTCAAAAGTGAGTCAACTTAAAGAAAATAGTAAACAATATTCAGATGATATGCAGCTTCCAGAAACGAAGTTGGTAGTGGAATGACTCCTGTTTGGAAAATACCCACTTAGAGTGTGCATTTATTTACCAGAAGGCTTCCGTGTGATTTTTATCTACATTTGATGAGCTTACTTCAAAGTACCAGGCTCACCACTGAGCACTTGGCTTTACTAATCGACAGAAGACAAATTTTAAATTTGTTCCAACTCTAATTTGCGGAAGAGAGGCCAAAATGAAGTCCATACACCATTATAAAGGTCTTCAAATACCAAAAACTGGATGTGTCTGACCAGCTTGGCTTATTAATGGACAAAAATCGCATTGAAATTACTTCATTTCATGCAGAAGTCAGAAGGCTCTACTTGATGCCTAAACAGATATGAGAACCTTTTGCAGAACCGGTAGAAACAGTCATCCACAAAGGTTAACAACAAAAATCCGTAGAAATATGAAACTAAATATCTAGTTCCCCACCTGGATTAGTCCTTTTTGGGTTGGGGCGACAATTAGAGACCAAGTGTTGCTTTCCCCAGCATTCGGCTACTCAGAAGCCACAACGGGAATCTTCTCATAACTAGGGCTGAGGCGCCCAACACGTAAGCTAACGCGGGGAAGCAGAAGGTAAGTCGACGCGGGGAATCAAAAGGCCAAGAGGACTTCTCTCCGCCCCGGCTCCGGCCCAGGCCCCGCCCCGCCGCCGAGGTCCCGCCCCCACATGCCCCGCCTCCTCCGCTTCCCAGTCGGCTTCGCGAGTCCCGCGCGCACTGGAGATGGCGGCTGCAGTGGGAAGGTTTCTCCGGGCCTCGGTGAGTGGCTGCAGACAGGGGACAGGCGCGGAGACACTGCAGTGGCACCGAGATCGTAGTTCCCAAGCAGGATCCTGCTCTCTGCCGTCTGGGGGCCTTTCGCCCTTCTTGGAGGGCACCAGCGGGTAACGGACCCCAGAGGCCTCTCCTCTAGGGAATGTGCCTGCGCAGAATCATCCTCCCCCTGCCTCCTCCTAGCTGTCCCCTCTTCTAATCCCTCCTCACCCAGGAGTTGCGGGTCCCCAGGCCTTTTTCCACCTGAGCACCTGGTCCCGGAGGCAGGCGACCTGGGCTCTGTTCCCTGTTCTGTAGCCTACTCTGTGACCTTGGACTGACTTTCCGAACCTCAGTTTGCTACCCTTCCATACCTTAAGATAGAAAGAGTGATGGCCTACATCAGGGCGTTGCTGTGAGCATCCACTCGATGCTGGATGGAAACCAAAGTGGTAAAGTACCAAGTGCTAAAGTGCAAAAGGCACTTCCCTTCTCCCACCCCAGGTCTGTCCCCACGCTTCTCAGGCAAAGCCTAGTTCCCTCTTGGTACCCACCCTCCCCTTTCTCCTGGCGGGGTTCAACGCAGGCTCCTTCTTCCTGAGTCATGCTAGACACTGTAGTTGAGCACACAATTCCCTTGAGCCCTGTACACACTTTGCCGGAGCCTGAACTTTGCTCTCCTTGTTTGCTTATCTGTGAGGCCTTGTCTTTTCTGGGAAAACCTTGACGCGGTAGAAATTGCTTAGCAGATCGTGCTGGTAAAGGACTTAAATACACAGAGCATGGCCAAGTCCTCTTGGTTTTTGGACCCTCTGTGTTGTTCTTAAGAGCATGGCATCTTTACGGTCTTATAATTCCCCTCTGCCTTGCAAGATTTTAAACAAATTATTTATATACTTTTAAAATAAAAGTTATATCTATATAAGATGTACAACATGATGATTCGATATACATAATGAAATGATTACGACCGTCAAACTAACATATCCCTTCACCTAATTCCCTTTTTTGTGTGTGATGAGTGTGCCTGAAATCTATTCTCTTAGCAAATTCCCAGGGTTCAATATAGTATTATTAAGTATAGTCATCATACTCCTCTACATTAGATCTCTAGACTTACTCATTTTGCATAACTGCAACCTTGTACCCTTTTACCAACATCTCCCCGTTCTCCTCTTGCAGTCTTGAAGGAGAAGGAGGCAGAAGAGAATGTTAGGAACATGAAGATTCAGGGGTGCCTGGGTGGCTCAGTTGGTTAAGTGTCCGACTCTTGGTTTTAGCTCAGGTCGTGATCTCACAGTTCCTGAGTTCCAGCCCCACATTGGGCTCTGCCGTGATGGTGTGGAGCCTGCTTGGGATTTTCTCTCTCTCTCTCTCTCTCTCTCTCTCTCTCTGCCCCTCCCCTGCTCATTCTCGCTCTCTCAAAAAAAAAAAAAAAAAAAGAAAATGGAGATTCAATCTATGCTCTTAGAGTTTTGGGTTTGATATTTGGTTCACAGGAACAAGGATAGCTGAGCCCACCAATGGCCTGATGCCCTTTCAGCAGGGCCAGCCTTCAGCTACCGTTCTGGGGCTACTTCCTAATATAAAGTGTTTCTCTTTCCAGGTTGCCCGACACGTGAGTGCTATTCCTTGGGGTATCTCTGCCTCTTCAGCCCTTCGACCTGCTGCTTCCCGAAGAACATGCTTGACAAACGTATTGTGGTCTGGTTCTGCTCAAGCAAAATTGGCTTTTAGCACCAGTAAGTGTTAATGCCTTGGGTTGACCCTAGAATGAAAACAGGAATCCTCATCTCAGGACAAGGGTTCTGAACCCTGTCTATGCGTTGGGCTCACTTGGGAAGATTTTTTTTTTTTTTTCTAATGTTTATTTATTTTTGAGACAGAGAAAGACAGAGAGCAAATGCGGGAGGGTCAGAGAGAGGGAGACACAGAATCTGAAGCAGGCTCCAGGCTCTGAGCTGTCAGCACAGAGCTCAATGCGGGGCTCGAACTCACAGAGTGTGAGATCATGACCTGAGCTGAGGTCAGATGCTTAACTGACTGAGCTACCCAGGCGCCTCGGGAAGATTTTGAAAACATACCACTGCCCCAGTCCCACTACAGACAAATTAAGTCAATCTCTGAGGTGTGAGACTGGGACATCATTTTTTTTTTAATGGAAATGTAGTTGATATGACAATATTATTAGTTTCAGGTGTACAACGTAGCGATTCAAGATTTATATACATTAGGTGGTGATCACCATGATAAACCTAGCTACGGGCTGTCACCGTACAAAGTTGTTACGGTATTATTAACTGTCTTCACTGTGCTGTGCATGGCACTCCACCCCTGTCTGTCCGTTTGTAACTGGAAGTTCCTACCTTTTAATCCCCTTATCAGTATATCTTAAAAGCTCTCCAGGTAATTGTGATGTCCAGTCAAAATTGAGAATTGCTGAGGCAGACAGCCCTTGTGTCACATTACCATTTTGGTCATCAGAGGTTTTAATCCTCTGTGTTGAGGAACATGGAGGGAGTGAGGTGGTACTCAGATACCTCTGGGCCTTGCTGTGTATGAAGGGATGTGAGGTAACCAGAAGTGGCCAACAGCCTGTCAGAACCAAGGCTTTTGGATTCAGACCTATGTGCTAGTTCTAGCTGGCCACATGAGAGCATGGACTCCTCCAGGACCTGAGTAAAACAAGGCTATATCTTGAGATTTACACTCCCATTTTCTAGAATGTGGGTTTTGCTAAGATGAGCCTCACATAATGAGTGATATTTGAAAATACCTCCTTTAAATTTGTCCCACCTTGTAAAAAGCACGTGCAACATGTAATCGCTTGAGAAATATACTTCAGCAAAGCCTTTGCTAATTTTACTACCCTGGAGCTTTAGAAAAAATTTCTAGTAATTTGATGCCCCGCATGTAAAACTTTCCTTGTCCCCTGTCCCAGACCCACTCCAGCGGCCCCCACCGTTTCTGAAGCCTGGGTATTTTGACACTTTGTGGCAAGTTGCCAGTGGAAGCAAGTCCTCTCTAGTTCTGACACATCTCTCGTACCCTTTCCTTCCTTCCTGTCCTCTCAGGCACACCCCTCCTGTCCATACCTCTCATTTAGATAACTGCAACGCCCTCCTACCATCAGTCTCCCTCCTGCTCCCCTTACCCTCCCCTGCCAGACTAACCCTCCCAAGAAGAGTTGACTCATCTTCCATCTCCTGCGTGTAAACCTCCTGCTTGAAAGCTCCAGTGAGGACTCTGTCTTTTTTTTTTTTTTTTTTTTTTTAAGAACAAACTCTAGCCTGATATTTCAGGGCTGTCACAGCCTGGCTTTCAGTCATTCTTCCTTTGTCTCTCACACTTCCTTCCACACACCTGCTCTCTCTGTTCTTTTTTTGTTTGTTTGTTTAATGTTTTTTTATTTTTAAGAGAGAGAACGCACACACGAACCGGGGAGGGGCAGAGAGAGGGAGACAGAATGCAAAACAGGCTCCAGGCTCTGAGCTGTCTGTACAGAGCCCGGTGTGGGGCTCGAACCCACGAACCACAAGATCATGACCTGAGCTAAAGTCGGATGCTTAACCGACTAAGCCACCCAGGCGTTCCTGCTCTCTCTGTTCTAATCAAACTGTGCCACGGGCTGTTCCCCACACTTGCCCAGTTCCCTCCTCCATGCCATTTGCCCTGTCCCACGTGGCCTTGGCAAAATCTAAACCATATTTAGAATCCATGTCCGGGCTCATGTCTTCCTCAGTTCTGTCTTAATGCCATCCCCACCATCTCTGGCGTCATCTTGTTCATCTTTTTAGTTCCCATAGTACTTTGAATTGAATTTGTATACAGTCTAGACTACAGAAGGTGGGGGGGGGAAATTCCCTAAGATGTACAGTTGAACTGAACCTTTTAATTTATATACTACCAATTAATTACTGTGAGAGATTTGCATGAAGTCAAGTAGGTGCGTGAATAAGCAGATGATGAACTGTATGTGCGTGTGGGCTTCCTTCAGGTTCTTCGTACCATGCTCCTGCCGTCACCCAGCACGCACCCTATTTTAAGGGCACTGCCGTTGTCAACGGAGAGTTCAAAGACCTAAGCCTTGATGACTTTAAGGGGAAATATTTGGTGCTTTTCTTCTATCCTTTGGACTTGTAAGTATAATTTCTGTGATGCTTGATGTCATTCTGAGAGCAAGCAAAGGTCTCTGCTTCCCCCTGACATTTCCTATCTCTGGCTGCTCTTCTGGTCAAGGGAAGGGTTCTTCGGGTTGTTTATCACCAGTGGCCTTGCTGAGTACAGCTTGCAGCTGCAGCTAATCTGATACCTGTAGAGGATGAGGTGGCATTCTTAGTGGGGTTGGGTTTTGATATGGCTGTTTTCTGTACTCCAGAGCAGTGGTTTCTGTAAGCCAGTCTGTCTGTAAGGAAGCTTTCATTGGCCTGGAGGAAAATGAGAAAAGTAAAGATAGTAATAAAATGAGTTTTCTCATAAAGTTATTTATTTTGGGGGGCGCCTGGGTGGCTCAGTCGGTTAAGTGTCCGACTTCGGCTCAGGTCATGATCTCGCAGTCCGTGAGTTCGAGCCCCGCGTCGGGCTCTGTGCTGACAGCTCAGAGCCTGGAGCCTGTTTCGGATTCTGTGTCTCCCTCTCTCTGACCCTCCCCCGTTTATGCTCTGTCTCTCTCTGTCTCAAAAATAGACAAACGTTTAAAAAAAAAAATTAAAAATAAATAAAGTTATTTATTTTTTCTTTATTCTTAGAATATGCCTCTGTTCCCCTGCCCACCCCCATTTTTTGATATGATTTGTTTTTTATGTTTGAGAGAGTGAGCGCGTGCTTGCAAGCAGGTAAGGGGCAGGTAGAGAGGGCAACAGAGGACCCAAAGCAGGCTCTGTGCTGACAGCAGAGAGCCTGATGTGGGCTCGAACTCACGAACCATGACATCATAACCTGAACCAAAGTCAGCTCCTTGACCGACTGAGCCACCCAGGCATCCCTTGTGATATGATTCTTCAATAGAAAGGGAAGTCCATTGAGGGTGGTTAGCCATTTTTGCTTTTTTCACCTATAAGCAAGTGGCTAGTCTTTAGACTACGTATCGTTTAAATTCTAAATCCTTGTTTTTAAATTCTCTGATGGGAATTGCTTCCCTTTTTTTCTAGCACCTTTGTGTGTCCTACCGAAATTGTTGCTTTTAGCGACAAAGCCAATGAGTTTCACGATGTGAACTGTGAAGTTGTTGCAGTTTCGGTGGATTCCCACTTCACCCATCTTGCCTGGATAAACACACCAAGGAAGGTATAGACCTCAGTTACCCTACCTTTGCAGTTAGCTTCCTAAAAACTGGAAAGATCCCATGAAAGACTAGCCTAGAAGTTGTTAGAGCATGATTAGTCTGAAATAGGCGTTCATAGGTCCTAAACTCCTGGCAAATTCTGTTAAACTCTGGCCATATCTCCCTCCACATTGCCTGGATTTACTGCCCACCACTTGTGCGTTTTCCAGGGTACAAACAGCAACAGAGACCAGTCTCAGCAGAGCGGGGTAGAACGAGCTGGGCATGGCTGCCTCCTCTCTGACCTGTACCTTATACATCCCACATCCCTGGCCTGGCTTGTGGGACGGTGGTTAATAGCTTCACTCTTTTGCATGATCATTGTTCCTGCCTGAAAAGCTGCTTGGGAGAATCAAAATTTCTAGCTGTGTTCCCAGCCTATCAATACCAAATTATTCAAAGTCTTTATTACTCTTCCATTTTTATGCTATAGAAATTAATCTTCGAGTAAGAGAATACTTCAAGAATCAGGAAAAGAAAGTTTTACAGTATTAGCTGGGTTTAAATCCTGCGCCTGTCCCTTTCTAGCTGTGACCTGGAACAAGTTACCTAACCTTTGTGTGCCTCCAGTTTCCTCACCTGTAAAAAGGTGATTATCATGGTATCTACTCCAGGATGGTTGGGAGGAGGAAGTGAGTTAACAGAAAGAGCTTAGAGCAGCACTCGGCCTGCTGTCGGTGCCCAGTCCCGCTGCCTGCTGCCATTCTTGTTGGCCTCAGACGTCACGTTACCTGGCTGAGACAGTGTAACAGCCCGTCGCGTTTGCATTTTTGTTAGAATGGCGGTCTGGGCCACATGAACATCGCACTCTTGTCAGACTTGACGAAACAGATTTCCCGAGACTACGGCGTGCTGTTAGAAGGCCCTGGTATTGCTCTAAGGTAAGATCCTGTTCCTTATGAACTTAAACTTTGTTTTTCGTGTTTAGCATCATCTCACTTCTTAGGGGATTTGTAGAGACCTCGGTAAAGTGCTTTAAAGACCAGAAAGCCTTCATTCACCTTTACTTAGCTTTAGTAGCGCCAGTGAGTGCCTGCTGCGAGGGTTGGCAGAGGCTTTCAGAATGGCTGTGACAGACCCGCCCCCTGCAGCACCCTGACTGTTTTTTTTTTTTTTTCAACGTTTATTTATTTTTGGGACAGAGAGAGACAGAGCATGAACGGGGGAGGGGCAGAGAGAGAGGGAGACACAGAATCGGAAACAGGCTCCAGGCTCTGAGCCATCAGCCCAGAGCCCGACGCGGGGCTCGAACTCACGGACCGCGAGATCGTGACCTGGCTGAAGTGGGACGCTTAACCGACTGCGCCACCCAGGCGCCCCAGCAGCACCCTGACTGTTGATGGTCACACTGCTGCACTTGCCCTAACCACCTGGGAGCCGCTTTCATGGTGGGGGGTAGGGGGTGCACTCCTGGCGTGTTTGGGGAAGGGGAGACCAGCAGCCCGTAGGAGTCAGGAAGCTGGCGTGGGTGAGATCTTATTCAAGCCCGAGTCAGACCAGAGTTTGAATTTTGTTTTTTAACTCAGCTATTTGTTTAACAGCTGTAGGACTTTGGGAAAGTTAATGTAACCTCTCTGAGTCCCACTTTTCTGTCACTGAACTGAAAATGTACCTCCCAGGTTGGTTGGGAGGGCTAAATGAGGGGAGGCAGCCAAAGTTTACAGCACAGGTTCTGGTAGCTGTGAAGACCTTTGTCCCAGAATGTCATTTCTGTCCTCATGCTTTCGGTAGTTAGAGCTTCATTCCTTTGAGTGTTGAAGCTTTCCTTCTCTAACAGTCCTATATGCAGGAATGCAGGCTTCCTGCCGGAGGAGGGGGTGGGCAGAGAATAAGCACTTGGGCCTTAGAATGGCATCTTGATGACCACTGAGTGAAGGAGGGTTGGGCAGAACTTCACCTCCAGGAAGCCGATGAGGACCTCACTGGGATGCACCTTGCAGTTTTGCTGGGGCTGGTTGGAACCTACTCACCTGCTCTGTCTTGGTACCTCACTCTTCTCTGGCCCACTTTCCTTTTGGGTTATCCCTGGGATTTTAGTTCTCCACCTTGGAGCTTGGGTCTTTTTTACTCCAGGCAGAGTCTGTCTTTCTTTAATAAACTAAAGCCTGGCTTTGGCAAAGTTGGCTAGGGAAGGAGAAAAAGAGTGCTGGCTTTTTCCTCCCAGGATCCCCTTCCCTGTCGGGTCTTGCTGGTGTTGCCGTTACTTCCCTGCTAGTTTCACCATTAGGATTGACAAGGGAGGGTAACCGAGTCTGGTTTGTAAGATGAGGCTTTCTTTCTGGAGTCTGTGGGCCCTGCTCCGTCCCCGCTCTGCACCTGCACCTGCACCTGCACCATGGACTCCAGCTTCGCTCCTCTCTCTTGAGCGTGCGCCAGGACCGCTGAAAGCCTCAAAGCCCAGACCCCCAAGAGCCGGGCCCAGGGAGGAAGAAGCACCATTTTACCTTGCTGTTTTCTCTTACTTGCTTCTTCCCTGAACGATTAACACTTGGAATGCCACACCCTTTTAAGATGGGCTGTTAAAACCTGTGGTTTAAACATATCTGCATATGTCATAGTAACACTAACACTTGTACAGAAGATGAACACAGACTTTGGTTTTTCCTTTAGATTTCTGCCCTGAGGCCTTACTTAAGGCCATTAAATTCTTCCTGCAAAGATTTCCCCTGGGATTTTCCACCATTTCCCCAAGAATTCACTCATTTCATAAGTATTTACTGAATATAGATAAAATACATCTCTGTCTTGGGGCGCCTGGGTGGCTCAGTCGGTTAAGCGTCCGACTTTGGCTCAGGTCACGATCTCGCAGTTCGTGAGTTCGAGCCCCGCGTCGGGCTCTGTGCTGACAGCTCAGAGCCTGGAGCCTGTTTCAGATTCTGTGTCTCCCTCTCTCTCTGACCCTCCCCCGTTCATGCTCTGTCTCTCTCTGTCTCAAAAATAAATAAACATTAAAAAAATTAAAAAAAAAAATACATCTCTGTCTTTCCCCTTTGCCTATGGTTTCTTGCCAAGGTTTGATACGGCAGCTCAAAGAACACCTGCTAAATATCACTAATAAGTGAAAGAAGTCTTTGCTCTCCATGACTTTTAGACTCTGTGTGACAGTCCAGTCACATTTGCAAAGGTGACTACCTGCTTTCCATGTTGTCCTGGTCCAGTCACACCTTTGTTAAGGCATCTCATCAGTAGGAGATGATCAGCTTTTTATATAACAATGAAAACACCATGTTTAAGCATATGATTGAATTTAATAAATGCTTTATTGATGAGAATTAAAGACAAAAGTGGGTAGAAGTTAGACTTTCTAGTTCTCTCTAGAACATTCTGCCGAAATACTAATGAGCACAAATTCTGATGCAGAGGTCTCTTCATAATTGACCCCAATGGAGTCATCAAGCATTTGAGTGTCAATGATCTCCCTGTGGGCCGAAGTGTGGAAGAGACCCTCCGTTTGGTGAAGGCATTCCAGTTTGTGGAAACCCATGGAGAAGTCTGCCCAGCAAACTGGACCCCGGATTCTCCTACAGTAGGTTTACTTTTCCAAAAGCAATGAGGTCCCAGCATAAGGATCCCAGGTCCTTATTGCCTCAAGAGATGCTGGCCTGGAGCACCCACAAAAGAACCCACCCTTGGTGCCAGGGTGCAGATAGTGTGCAAATGGGTGAGGCTGCCGTGGGGTGGGGGTTGTGGTGGGATCAGGGATCAGGCAGGCTGTTAAAACAATGTTCATCCATGCATTTTAAAGGAAACAGACCACACTTTAAGAAGTAAAAGAACTTTAGGTTAAAAACTGAGCTTTCAACTCACTTTTGAGACTGTTATCTTAAAGGCAGTTACCTGATTAAATGTTTTTGTACTTTCAGATCAAGCCACATCCAGCTGCTTCCAAAGAGTACTTTGAGAAGGTAAATCAGTAGGTCATCCATCCCCTGCGTACCTGCAGCTTCTCCCATCAGAAAGAACCACATTTGGACTCACCTATTAGCATTTCAAAGATGATGATTTCTAGAAGACAAAAAACCAATTATGTTTGCATTCATAAATAATACTCTGAGTGTTTTCTTTTTGTAACATTGGCTAAGGCTTTTTTAAATGTACTCACACATACAAAGCGTCCTTTATTGGTAACTTCTTGGTGGCTAGTTTATAGAATTTGCTGGTTCATCTATTCCTTCGATTGTGTCTTCAATGGGAAGAGCAAACACTCTTCTTTCTCAGCCTTACTCGAACTTTTCTGTGCAGCAGAGAAGTCAAACGAGCCCCCAAAGCTTCTGATCGAGGGTCCTGAAATTTTCTTCTTGGATTTGTTTGTACTAAACTGAATTTTCTTTTCAGGTAACAAAGATCATAGTTTGAAGGTGTTAATGTCAGCAGTCTGCTTTAACTCTTGCAGTGGACGTATATGTACTTGAAACAAATGTGAATCATGTTTTTAAAAAAACACAGTGACAAATGACTTAAGCGATCATGCATGTTTCTCTTCCCTGAGATTAAAATAGTTATTTTAGGGGCGCCTGGGTGACGCAGTCGGTTAAGCGCCCGACTTCAGCCAGGTCACGATCTCGCGGTCCGGGAGTTCGAGCCCCGCGTCAGGCTCTGGGCTGATGGCTCGGAGCCTGGAGCCTGTTTCCGATTCTGTGTCTCCCTCTCTCTCTGCCCCTCCCCCGTTCATGCTCTGTCTCTCTCTGTCCCCAAAATAAATAAACGTTGAAAAAAAAAAATTTAAAAAAAATAAATAAATAAAAATAAAATAGTTATTTTACTTATTTGCTAGCTGACATAGTGTCCACAAATATTGTAGATATTGATTGGGCGTAATTATAAAGCATATTTATTGAATCCAGTAATTGCATTTTGAAATCATTGTAATTATTTTCTTTTCTGAAGTGCTCAATGTAAAGTACATAATAAACATATTTTAAAATATTTGCATGCTCAACACCATTAATTGTTGGTTCGGCTTATGTTGTGAGGCTCTAGGTCTCCTACTGATTAGAACAGCAAACATTTATGGAGCATTTAGCTCAGGGCCCCCAAATATGAATAAGATGCTGGCTCTGTACCCAAGGAACTCAAGTTAGGGCAAGAGAGATATGGAAGCATCTATTCATTATATCAGTAAATCCTGGGTGCTGTTTTGGAAGCATAAGGGTGAACAAAAAGAGACAACCCCCTTCCTTCATGCAGTTACATTCCAGAGAGGGAAACCCAATAAATATAATAAAAATACATAGAATGTTTGAAAGGGAAATAAAGTAGAGTAGGGGGCTAGAGCAGAGAATTGAGATGTTCTAGATGGGGTCGTCAGGAAGGCCTTAAAGTCAACGTCCAGGTCCGTTTTCTCATCTGTAAAGTGAGGGCAATAATTGTCATACCTCAGGGTTTTGATGAGGATCAAGTGAGATAAAACATGTAGAAAGTGAGGGTGCTAGGCAAAGGGTTTGGCAAGTGCAAAGGGCCTGAGGCAAGAGTAGGCGTAGAGTGGATGAAGAATTGAAGGGGCTGTGAGACTGCAGTGGTGAAGAAGGAGAATGGTCACGGGGAGCCCAGAGTGCCTTATGGGTAAACTGGGGACTTTGGATTCTCTTCTAAGAATTTAGAAGGTTTAGAATTTAGAAGGTCTCTTCGAAGGTTTTGACTGACAAGAGTCGCCTCAAGCGTTTTTCCAGGAGGATCACTCTGGCTCCTTTGTTAAGACTAGACTATAAGGGTCCAGAGAAGAGAAGCTGAGCTGGATTTGACATACTTGAGGGTAGAGCCAACAGAAAATCATACAGGTGTGCTAAATACTCTGGCACAATATGCAGTAGATGCATTCCTGGGGTGTGAGGGGAGCACTGGGGATGGGGGAGCTTACCCAGCCACTGGCATGGGGGTGAACTTCCTGGAAAAGGAGATGAACTCTTGAGGTTATTGAAAAGTGAGCCAGGTGAGCTGAGCAAAAGGGGGCACAAATTCACATCAGCCTGCATAAAACCTTAAGCTTTCATGTCCCTGGAGGGAAAGGCAAGACAAGGCAAGGGACAGAACAGGCCAGCTGGCTGTTAAAGACCCAAACTGAGCTTTTCCAACGGACCTAGGGTCATGTTAGGGCTTTTACATGTTTCGTCTCATTTGATCGGCAACAAAACCTTAAAATGGGTACGATTACTGTCCTCTTTTTACAGATGACTAAATAGACCCATTTATGTTGATTTCACCAATGCCATCCAACTAAGTAACTTATGGTCTTCAACCCAAGACTCCTGAAGACCCCTGAACTCCCTAAATGTCCAGGAGCACACATTCTACAACCATCCCACCCACCCCAGTGCAGGGCCAGGATGTAGGGGAGGTAGCAGCAGGAGGAGGGCAGATGCATTTCTTCTCCACAACCAGACCCTACTTGATCTGGTATTCAAAGGAAAGAACTGAAACTGCCCCAGCACTAGAGAAAAACTTGGGGAGATTGCACTTTATGCAGTGCCCTCTTCACCCACAGGGTCAGGGCCCCACACTTAGAAGGGCCCTGGGCCTGGTTTAATGCTCGGGATGTTGACTTTTTGAAACTCTCAATCGTTTTTAAATAAGGCGTGCCACATTTTCAAATTTCACCGTGAAAATTAAGTAGCCAATCCTGACTATCCCCAACGCCCTTCCAAAAGGTTGGCACACCTGTCATCTGGGTAAGATTCAGGTTCTTCTCAGTAGGTACTGTGATGTGGGGGGGGGAGAGGGGTCCATAGGTGACCCCTCCAACCTGGAAGCGGTCCAGCTACCCTAAAGGGAGAATAAGGTTGGGAAGACTTGGTCTGCAGGAGGATGGGCAGGTGCACGGGGACGGAAGGCTCACGGGGACCAGGGCGGGATGGAGGCGTGGGATCTGGACGCTGGAGCGTGGTGACAGCGAGCATCGGGAGTTCGGGGACCCGGCAGCGGGAATACCGGGCGCACCGGGTTCCCGCCACTGGCGCGCGGCGACAAAGAGCAGCGGGCGAGCCAGGAACCCGGCAGCGGGAACAGGGGACGCGCGCGCGCCTGGGGCGGGGCACGCCGCCCGGCTCCTCCTCCGCGCCTGGCGGGGTGGCGGCGGCCTCCCTCCACTACACAGGTCCCAGGAAGAGGAGCAGGAGGAGGAGGAAACGCGGGGGGCCGGGCGGCTCCCAGGGTGCAGCGGCGCGGCCCCAGCATGGAGCCCAACGTGCGCTTCTGGATCACGGAACGCCAAGTACGGCCCGGGCCCGGCGCGGCTGGGGGCGGGGAGGCCCTGGGCCGCGTGAAGTCACCGGCTGGAGTGCTGGCTGGCCCGGGTGACCTTGGGTAGGCCACGTGGTCGCACCACCCGCCTTCCCACCTCAAACCCCGGGAGGGGACGAAGGGGAAACCCAAGCGTGCGGGAGGCCGACAGCCAGGGCTGGTACCGCGTGTCACCGCTACCCCAGGCCTGGCTAGCGAGGGTCGTCACAAGGTCACCCTACCCATCGTCTTGAAGAGTCAGGCCCCGCCTCGCAGGGGTCTGCCCTCCGCTGCCTAAGCTGTTGCTGAGCACCAGCTTGGAAAGGAACAGATGCATCCAGGAGCCACCCCCGCCCCTCCTAACCTCCGTAGGCTCAGCCACTCGGATGGCACAGGGGCTGTCGGCAGCGGTAGACAGGGAGTAGCGCGGGCCCCGCCTCTAGGCGGTGACAGGGCGGCGCTGCCCAATAGAAATACGATGGGAGCCGTAGAGGTCATTAAAATTTTTCTAGTAGCCACATTCAAAAGGGTAAAAAGGAACAACAGAAATTAATTTTAACAGTCTATTGTATTTAGCCCAACAAACATAAAATATTCACGTTTCAACACGTAATCAATGTAAAAATTATTAATGAGATATTTACATCCCTTTTTTACATCTTTGAAACCTGGTGTCTATTTTACACATACAGCATATCTCAGTTTGGCCTGGCCACATTTCAGGGGCTCCAGAGCCACACGGGGCTAATTGGACCATACAATTCTAGGGTGTTCTCTTTCAGCCTTACCTAAAGGAGGGCCTAGCCTGGTTTTGAGTAGGGAAGTTGAAAGGGGACAGGGAACTCCAGCTTTCCAGGCAGAGCCAGGACCGGAAGCCAAAACCATTGCAGAGGTGGTGTGTGTTGTGGGGGAGGGGAAGGGGAAGGTTTTGGAAGCCAACCACACTTCCTCTGTCCACATGTGAACTGAGCTGCCTTTACTGATGCCTGGCTGGGGTGTCGGGTTCTTTATGACTCAAGTTAAGTCTTAGAACAATGATAAGAGGGTAAAGAAGAAGCTTCTGAGAACTTTCCAGGTAGTTGGTTCCAGGTCATTTGTGCGATGTGAACATAGATAGGCCCATTTGACCCCAGAGTCTGAGCTTTTAACCCTCGAGAGTAATTTGATATTAGAGTAGTTAAGAGCACAGGCTGCTGGGTTTGGTCCCGGCTGGGTTTTCTTGGGTACGTTCATGAGCTTTACCTCACCTGTAAAATGGGGATGTTGCAGGAGCTGCAGTTAGAAGCCCTGTTAGGGTCTCAAACATTATGTTCACCGTTATTATTACCATATATCTTTTCTTTTCTGCCACCACTAACCTCTCTGGTGCTCTTCTCCCTCTCCAGTCTTTTATTCAGAGATTCGTTCAGTGGACAGAGTTATTGGATCCTACAAATTTGGTCGTTTCAATTGTGAGTATTTCCTTGTTTTCTGAGATAACGCATTTCACATCTTATTCTGAAATGGGAAGACCGTGTGTCCCTTTTGAAAAGCAGTGGAAACAGAACCCATATATATTATCACGTTTTCATTCCTTCAGAATGAGCTTGTTAGATTGGAAGGTGGGTAAGCAAATGCTGACAGGTAATACCAAGCTCTGGGCCAGGTGCTGGTGGTTCAAAAGGGATCAAAACAGTCATCCCTGGTCATGGAGAATAGACCGGCAGAGGTGGTCACAGACCTTGACCTCGGGTTCTAAGGGAGGCAGAAGGCCAGAGGGAGGAGGCATCCAGGAAAGGTCAGATAGAAGGGACTGTAAGCAAAGCCCAGGGGAGAGAGCGGGTAGTCCGGTCAGTGCGTTGGGGAACCAGGCAGTTCCTGAAGGGCCTTGTGTGTCATTCAGATGAGAGGGGTTTGCATTTAGCCTGCAGGGCGAGGTGGTGAGGTTTGTGGTTCAGAGGGTCTCTGGTCACCATGTGGCGAAGGATCAGAGGGATCAGACTGTAGATGAGGTGAGCTGTTCAGGGAATGGCTCAGCTATCTGAGTGAAAGACCAGGGTTTGAACCATGTGTTGCTGAGGGCAGAAGAGGAGATGCCCTGTCACCAGCAATACCCCTCAGGACCAGAGCCACAGGGACACTCCCATCCTTGTGTTCAAGTTGTTCCAGGCAGCCTTCTTTAGTTATTTTTATTTTTATGTTTTTTTTAATGTTTATTTTTGAGGGAGAGAGGAAGACAGAGTGTGAGCCGCGGAGGGGCAGAGAGAGAGGGAGACCCAGAATCCAAAGCAGGCTCCAGGCTCCGTGCTGTCAGCACAGACCCGACCTGGGGCTCATGAGATCATGGCCTGAGCCGAAGTCGGATGCTTAACCAACTGAGCCGCCCGGGTGCCCCACAGTCTAGTTTATAATAGAGAAAAATAAGCTGAATGCCCATCAGTAGGGAAATAGGAAAATATAATGTATATGCATACAGTGGAATACTAATAGAAGTTGAAAATGATGATCTAGTTAGCGATGTATAGTATTAACATGGAAACACGTGTATGATGTTACATGGAAAGCATCTACAATGTTAAGTGGAAAAAGCAAGACGCATAAAGTACAACATTTATGCAGATGACAATATAAACCAAAACTACATCTTTGTTTACAGATACATGTATTCTTATTTGTAGAAGTATAAGAAAGTGGACTGGAATTTCATACCTTGAACTCATAATGCTTTCTCTCTGATAGAATAGGGAGACAGGAGACTGCGGGTGATGGCTTTTGGGGGAAAAAAAAAAAAAAAAAAAAAGAAAAATTGGAAGCAAATATAACCGAATGTTTGCAGCTGTTAATTCTGTGGAAGGGGATTGGGAGTATGTACTCATTCTTTGTATTTTCTGTATTTAATTCTTTTTTTTTCCTCAAATTAAGAAGAAATGAAGAGAGGAAGTAAGCCTGAATGGATCAGATGTGGGGGTGAGAGAGAGGAGAGATCTTCAGGTTTCTAACTCTCAAAGCCAGTCAGATGGTGGTGGCTCTCACGGAGACAGCTGACATCAGAGAATGGGAGGGAGGTGGCAGCACCCGTGGCTTGAGCTGCTGGAGCTCTCTGGGAAGCTGGGAGCTCTGGATCTGAGTGCCACACGGGCCTATCCTCATGAAAACTCTAAGGGAGTAGAGAACATCAGTGTGTTGTACTGAAATCAGATGTCAAGGAGCATGTGATTCCTAAATCTGAGGGTATAGCTAAACGATATTGAGATCATTGCTTGATTTTTTTTTCTCTCTGATCATAGGAAAAAATAGAAAAATCAAGGCAACTATTGTTAACAAATGAAGATGCATTCATACATGACTTGGAGGACCGAAGGGTATGTGTCCCGTGCCTGGTTCAGGGTTGGATGTGGTTGCCTTCAGGAGATTCTGCTTGCATGGTCTCAAATCAGATGGAGTCTTGTCATAGTGAACACTGCCCAGGGGATCTGCTTTTTAAAACTGGATTAGTTTTTTTTTTTTTATGTTTATTTATTTTTGATAGAGAGAGACAGAGCACAAGTGGGGGAGAGGCAGAGAGAGAAGGAGACACAGAATCTGAAGCAAGCTCCAGGCTCCGAGCTGTCAGCACATAGCCCGACATGGGGCTCGAACCCACAAACCGTGAGATCATGACCTGAGCCAAAGTCGGACGCCTAACCGACTGAGCCACCCAGGAGCCCCATGGATTAGTTTCTTTTAAATGTAGTGAGGATTCATTCTCGTAAACCAGATTACTAGCAGAAGGAGCTAGTATTAAGGAAAGGAGAAAAAAGCATAGGGTTCCTCCTGTGCTTAGATATTAGTGGGGATCCTCTGTGACTGATCCCTGGAGCCCCACGGGAAACTCCAGAATTCAGGAAGGCCTCTGAAGTCAGAATCTATTTCCCATTAGAGGCAGTGGTCCAGGTCAGGATTACACTCCTGCCCAAAGAGTTAAACCAAGCATTTGTTATCTACCTTGTGGTGGATGGGGCTTTCCAGAGCCTATAGACATCACTCCTGTGAGGCAGCCTGTGGAAAGCTCACATATTTAGTTTGGTGTGTGTGTGTGTGTGTGTGTGTGTGTGTGTGTGTGTGTGTGTGTTTATGAACTTGATAGGGCCTCTGGGCTCACAGCCTGGCTCAGATGCAGGTGCCTTGGCTAATGGCATGGTGCATCACCTTGTCTGCTCTTCTCTGAACCAGGGGCAGGCTAGATTCAGGTACTCACCTGAAGAGTAAGTTAGGTGTTGGCCTTGAGTCCTCTCCAAGGTAGGAGATTTAGGACTTTTTAATGTTCTGGCTGTTTTCTTTCTGTGGATCATTTTATTGCTTATTGTTAGTTCATTTGTTTGTTTGATACATTTGATTAATTTTTAAAAATTTTTTTAAACATTTATTTATATTTGAGAGAGTGAGAGGGGGGAGGAACAGAGAGAGAGGGAGACACAGAATCTGAAGCAGGCTCCATGGTCTGAGATGTTAGCACAGAGCCTGATCGGGGCTCGAACTCATGAACCGCGAGATCATGACTTGAGCCGTCAGATGCTTAACCGACTGAGCCACCCAGGCGCCCTTGACTCATTTATTTTGATTTATTCTGTCCATGTGGCATTGAACAGTTCTGGCCTTCACTCTCTGAAAGATGGAGTAAAGGCGGCACCAGAAATGAGACTGGAGAGATTTTCTTTTTCTTTTTTGCTGCCAATTCACCTTTAAAAGCTTTGCTTGTTTTTTCTCTTTTTAGGTACAAGAAGCTTGGAAGAGAAGTCTTGTAAGTTTCAGCCCCTTGCTAATTTTTAGCCTGCTACGATAACAAAACCAAACATCAGACTGACCCTTGTGTTTGCTCTTGTGAAGTCAACAGTGCATCCTGACAACAGCAAACTGATCCCCGTTCCTTTTCGACCTGCAGGTGAGCAGATTCCAATTTTCACAAGTGGGTTGAGAAAACATGGCTTGTAACAGTTAAAAAACTCTGTCTAGAAGGATTTCTGACAGTGAGTCTGGAAACAGCTTAAAAGGGATGTTTGAAGGGTCTAGGTGTTGATAGTGGAGAAGAGCAGGTTTGGGGCCCAGAGCTGCATCCAGTGCTGTGGAAAGATCTGGAAGGTTGGGGGTGAGGACACAGGCCTGGGTCTGAAACCTACTTTGCTCTGTTATCTGCTAAGAAACACAGCCGATCATTTCATTGATGATGGTTCTAGAACTGGTAACTCATAAGTGTTTTGGATTCCATGTAGTATCCTCTCTCTCATATCTTAATTACAGTGAAGGGAATAAAACCTATGATCATACAGGGCCCTTTTAACTATAAATTCTCTCTGTTATGAACAAAAAGCTGGAAACATCATAATATCCAACAATTCAGACTATAGTTAAATAATTCATTAAAATGAATGAGGTAAATCCCATGTGCTAATGTAGAAGAATGGATCTCCAGGAACTCGTATTAAGGGGGAAAAAGGCACAATATGAAACAGTGTATAGTGATCCTGTTTGTATGAATAAGTGTTGTGAGCATGAGAGAGCACCAGAGAGTGTGCGAGTTTCCATCTAGTAGAGGAAAAACACTTGTCTCTCCTTTTAATGCCTCGCTTCTGACACCAGATACATGGGCTTTTCCCACACCCTTCAATTCTGTGACACCAGCCAGGTGTCTTATAGGTTTTTGATTTTTTTTCAATTTTTTTTTTTTTACATTTATTTATTTTTGAGAGACAGAGAGACAGAGCACAAGTCAGGGAGGGGCAGAGAGAGAAGGAGACACAGATTCCGAAGCAGGCCCCAGGCTTCGAGCCATCAGCAAAGAGCCCGACGCGGGGCTCCAACTCACAAACCGTGAGATCATGACCTGAGCTAAAGTTGGACACTTAACTGACTGAACCACCCAGGTGCCCCTGGTTTTTGGGTTTTTTTTAATGTTTATTTATTTTTGAGAGAGAGAGAGCAAGGAAGGGGGAGAGAGAGAGAGAGAGAGAGAGAGAAAGAAAGAGAATCCCAAGCAGGCTCTGTGCTGTCAGCGCAGAGCCCGACATGGGGCTCAAACTCATGAACTGTGAGATCATGACTTGAGCCAAAATCAAGAGTCAGACGCAGCCACCTAGGTGCCCCTGTCCTACAGTTTTAAGTCAGTCCTGACTGTCGACCTGGGGACAGCGACAGACCCCACAGTTTAAGGGCTCAGGCCCACAAGACCACCCCAACTTCAGAGGCCAATTGAAAGTCCAGGTTCTCTGTGCTTCTGACGAACCTGCTATAAATTGGAGGTCCTCACACCCCCCCCACCCCCCCAACTCCTGGGGCTTGAAATTGCTAGACTGGCTCACAGAGCTCAGGAAGACCATTTACTTACTAGATTCACCGTTTGTTATTAAAGGATACAGTTCGGGAACAGATGGAAGTGATGCACAGAGTGGGCTGGGGAAGAAAGAGCTTCCACACCTTCCCCAGGCCTCTGCTCTGCCAGCACCTGCTTGTCCTCAGCAACTGAAACACTGTAAAAAGCAGGCTTTATCACTATGGTTGACTAGATCATTGGCCCTTGTGACTAGCCCCGCCTCCAGCCCCTTTCCCCTGGTAGGTAGGGGGTGGGGCCGAAAGGTCCAACCCCCTCATGCGTTGGCTGGTTCCCCTGGCAACCAGCCCCGCCTTAGGGGCTTTCCAAAAGTCACCTCATTAACATAAACTCAGGTGAGCTGCACCGGGGTTCTTAGGAGTACAAAAGACACCCATTTCTCCTTCACTGCTGTTCTCATTGAGGAAATCCCAAGGGCGTTAGGGTCTCTGTGCTCCGAACAGGGACGAAGAGCAAATACGGATTTCTTATTATAAATGACTGCATCACAGATGTACAAAGTTCGTGCAGAAGGACGAACAGGTGCGGGTTCACAGCGCTTGCCCTGAGTTGGAGGGACTAGGAAGGCCCGGGGGCGGGGGCGCCTCGCTAGGTCTTTCCTTGCTGTGCTGATTGAAATGCTTGCCATACGCACATAGTTATTATTAGGAAAAAATGAAACAATGAAGACTGTCCTTTGGCGTCTGTGTCTTCAGGGCGCTGGAGAGGAGGTTCTCGGGTGGGGGTCCCCCCCCCCCCCCCCCCACTCCGCCTGCCTCGGCGGCTGCAGTCACTGACCCTCTTCTCTTCCTTGCCAGCTCTCCTACCTTTCACGGCACCCATGGTGAGTCAGCTGAGACCCCAGGTTTAGGAAGATGTCCACTCATCTCCTAACCTCAGCGGTTTGTGTCCTCCAGCTCTGGAGCCCTGTCCCGCCACCCCCCGCCTCTGACCCTTGTCTGCTCTTCTTGTGTTTTCACCCTGCCCCCCACAGTGAATCCAGTCAGGCATCTGGGCCTCTTGAAGGTCCCTGTGTCACAAGGTAGTCCTTTCTCTGGATGCCTACTGTGCTCAGAGCGCTACAAGGCGGATGAAATGCTCCCTGCTGCAAGCACACAGGACTGTCCGTGACCTTCTCTCCCTTAACCCTCCACCCCACCCCTGCCCAGTACAGGCCCTCTCCTGGGACCTGGGATTGCCCCCCCACCCCCACCCCAGAGAGGCTGTACCACCTTCCCTTTCACGGGGTGCTTTTTCACAAAGTGACAGCATTCCTCCGTCACTTCTCCCACACCCGTCCTGTGTGTGCGCCCACTGGCAAGTGCAAACTTCTCAGCTGCCCCGCCCTGCTGCATCGCAGGTCTTTGAGGCAGGGACCCGTGTGAGAGTCCCGGGTGTCCTCAGTGCCCTGTAGGCGTCACTTGACCTGTAGCCTTCTGCATCTGGACCTTCGCCTCCTTGTCCTGGTCCTGGGGGGCCCAGTCCTGCATCTCCCCTGGGAAGTCCTTTGCCTGGCAGCTCCCCCTCCCCCAGAACACTTAAAACTTTGCTTTATTTTCTTAAAAGATCTTTTTGTCGATGCTGTCGGTGAAAAGTCTGAAGTCCCTGATTTTACCTCAGGTAATAACTGTTTCTATTTCATGATGACTGAATTCTGTTGTGCTCGAAACCAGTGTGTGATCCGTTTGCCTCCGTCTTTGTGCAGGTTTCCTTCTACACCTACACTACGGCATTCAACATTGTCAACGGAAATGCAAGTTATGTGAGTGTTATGAGGCCCAGGGGATATGCAATGCTCTGTTATTTCTTTTGGAGTTTTGTTTGTTTGTTTTAATTATCCTTCCAGGGTAAAACTGTGGTATTTGCTAAGTATGTACTTTTGTTTTTTCCTTAGAATCGTCGCCCACATGAGAGTCTATTACTAGGGACAGGAGTAATTGCTTCTTCATCCTTTTTTGGAGTGGGTATTTTAAAAATCTGTCAAATCTTATTTATTCCTCAGGACAAAACAAAATATTCTGAATTAAAATTCATGTTTCAACTCAAACTATTTTTTTTAATCTATGTTTTTTAATTCAAATTTTTTTTTTTTTTTTTTAAGAGAGAGAGTGCGTGCGTGAGCAGGGTAGGGGCAGAGAGAGAGGGAGAGAGAATTCCAAGCAGGTTCCATGCTCAACACAGAGCCTGACATGGGGCTCAATCCCACAGCCCTGGGATTGTGACCTGAGCCGAAATCGAGAGTCAGACTCCCAACTGACTGAGCCACCCAGCCACCCCCTCAATTCAAACAACTTAGAAAGTATGACCAGGAGATAAGAAAGGAAATGGTCACCTGTAATCCTGTCACCCCCCCTAAATAAGCATATGAGCATCCCAAGTTTCTAGGCATATACTCAGTACTCTTACCTTTTTAAAAAATGTATTTAGGCTAGATAAACATGTACAAATCGTATATTGCTTTGGATGTCAGGGCACCGTGATGGTTAAAAACACAGACATTAGAGTCAGATAAGCCTGGGTTGGCATCCTGGCTCAAATTCTTAGTGGCTCAGTGACTCTGGACAAGTTATATAACCTCCCTAAGCCTCCGTGTGTTCCGCTGATAATCGGGAGAACACCTCAGCGTTGCAAGAATTAAAAAATGCACGGAGAGCATTTGCAAAGGCCTGACCTGTGCCAGGAACTAGGTCGATGCTAACTCTTGCTATTGAGTATGTTCAGCTGATTTTTTGGACCTAGGCAATAATGATTTTTCTCTTGTTTTTCTAGTTACTCCCTCATTTGCTCCAGATGCGGCTGAATAACATGTTGTTGAAAAAAGCCCTTCCCATCATCATTCTGAGTAAGCAGGAAGCATGCAGTCGCTGTGGTCTTTGAGCTTTCCTTCATCTTTGGGGACAGCCAGGTCCCTTGGCCACATTGTGACTGATGACAGCTGCTATTTGTAGCTTTCCGAGGTCCCCGGGGCCAAACTAGGTCCTTGGTTTGAGAGGTGACACTTGCTCTGTAGATATACTCTTCATTGTCAGAGGATGAACACAATTACATTTGCAAGACTGTGCAAGCCCTGTGCATGTATTATTTCACTTAATCCTGACAAAAATGTATGGGTAGCAATATCGTTAGTCCATTTACAGAAGCAGAGGCTGAGGCAGGGGAACATTAACTGTCCTAGGGTCACACAGGGAATAGGTGGCAGTAGGGGGGATTCCAGCCTGGTGGACAGACTCTAGTGGGAGCAACAGAGATGTTAACCGTTTCAAGTTTGCCAGCCTGCAGATTCACACTCCGTGTTTGACTCTGGAAATCATAATAGCGGTTTGAAGTGTTGGCAGAATGATGTGAGCGGTAAAATTTGGGAGAATGTCATAGAAACCTGATCAGACCAGCTAAAGCAAAGAAGGGGGGTGTCTTTACAGGACCCTGGGGTTTCTCCTGGAATCTTCCCAGGGAGCTGGGCTGGACTTTCAGAGGTGCTGAAACCTGGTGCCGGGTCCTGGTCAGGGAAGGACCAACTGACTGGGAAGCCAACAGTTCTGATCCAGCTCCACAGCCCCAGGACAGAGCTCGGTTGGCCAGCTCCAGCCAGGTGACCTCCTGAGGGCAGAGGAAGCATAGCCATCAGAGAAAGAGGCGTGACATCAGAAAAGGTGTTCCTTCACTGGGCCAAACTCACCCTCTGTTGTGCATTTTCTTCTCTACATCCACAGCCCACGTCAGTGCCATGAATGTTGTTGCAGCCCGAAGCCTTGAGCCCATTCGAGGGATTGAAGTCATGGACAAGGAAGGCAATGTCATGGGCTATTCCAGAAAAGCCGGGACAAAGGTAAGGGGACACAATGGAGCCTTAGCTGGCTTGCCTCTTGGGTAGAGCATTGAGTTTTCTGTTTGAGAGCTGTACCCAAGTCATGTCTCCCTTCCACCTTTCCTTATCCTGTTTTCCCTCTTGCAGACAGAGCGGTTTTCCATTTTGCACTGTGATGTTTGAAATGATGTTTCCACTTTACACCAGTAATATGCAATTAGTCTGAGTTCTCCAGAGAAACAAAGCCAGTCGTATGTATGCATGTGTGTATTTATTTTAAGTAATTGGCTGATTCAATCGTAGGGCCCATAGGTTGCTCAAGTGTAGGCCAGGTCGGCAGGTTAGAAACTCAGGAGCCCTTGAGGCAAAATTTCTTCTTTGGGAAAACCTTCTCGATTTTGCTCTCAAGGCTTCCCAACTGATTAAACAAGGCCCATTCACACCATGGGAGGTAATCTTTGCTTAAAGTTAACTGATTATAGATGTTAACCACATTTACAAAATAGCCCCACGGTAGCACGTCAGTGTTTGGTTTAAGTACCAGGTCCCGGGGCGCCTGGGTGGCGCAGTCGGTTAAGCGTCTGACTTCAGCCAGGTCACGATCTCGCGGTCCGTGGGTTCGAGCCCCGCGTCGGGCTCTGGGCTGATGGCTCAGAGCCTGGAGCCTGTTTCCGATTCTGTGTCTCCCTCTCTCTCTGCCCCTCCCCCGTTCATGCTCTGTCTCTCTCTGTCCCAAAAATAAATAAACGCTGAAAAAAAAAAAAAAAAAAATTTTAAAGTACCAGGTCCCATCGCCTAGCCAGGTTGACACATGAGACTGACCGCTGCAGACGGGCTTCCACCAAATGCTAGGCCGCTCTCTGAGGGTGAGATTTTATTTTTCCAGCTCAGCATCCACACACACACACCCCCAAGGCTGCTCTGCACTTGTGGAAGTCAGTGACTCCCTGTCTGGATTTGAGAGCAATGTTCGCGGTCCCCCTCACAGCAGATTTTCTTATAGTCTTCGTCTTTCCGGACCAGTCTGCTGGCAAGGCTGGGCTGAGAAAAACCGTGCTCTGACCAGAACTCTTCAAAAAGGCTTCGGTTTTTAAAATTTTGTTGTAAATATTTTTTTAAGTTTATTTATTTATTTTGAGAGAGACAGTGCATGCCAGAGGGACAGAGAGAGAAGAAGAAGAAGAAGAAGAAGAGAGAGAGAGAGAGAGAGAGAGAGAGAGAGAATCCCAAGCAGGTTCCACGCTGTCAGCACAGAGCCCCACATGGGGCTCAATCTCACAAACCTCGAGATCATGACCTGAGCCGAAATCAAGAGTCAGACACTTAGCCAACAGAGCTACCCAGGCGCCCGTCGAAGGCCTCAATTTTTAATAAGTTTTATTACTAAATAGTTGAATTCTTTTGCTCAATTCAGCACCCTGGCTTCTGTGTGCATTCAGGTTGAAGAAACTGGACTGGCCTATGGTGGTCTCATTTGGGGTTTGAACTTTTTGTAAAATTACTTTTTCAGCAGGTGAGGTTTTTTTGTTTTTTTTGTTTTTTGTTTTTCTCTGTGGAATGCCATTAGCTAAAGAATCATAGCATGAGGCAATTGTGTGCAAATGGCCTGAACAGCAGCAAAGAACAGCCCAATAAGAAGTGAAGGGAATAATAGCTTCTCGTGTTGTCAGTGTTCAAGGGGACTCCTGTCGGGACACCCTCTGCCCTATGTGTCAGCAGAAGACGAGGTCAGAAAAGATGGCTGATGGGGCGCCTGGGTGGCTCAGTCAGTTAAGCGTGTGACTTTGGCTCAGGTCATGATCTCACAGCTTGTGAGTTCGAGCCCCATGTCGGGCTCTGTGCTGACAGCTCGGAGCCTGGAGCCTGCTTCGGATTCTCTGTCTCCCTCTCTCTCTCTGCCCCTCCCCCACTCACACTCTGTCTCTCGCTCTCTCAAAAAATAAATAAACGTTACAAAAATTTAAAAAAAAAAAAAGAAAAGATGGCTGCTCGTTCAGTTGGTAAATATAGCGTTGTTTGGCTCACAAACATCTTGCTGTAAACCCTGTCCGTGATTCACAAAGCTGAATTACAAACCATTAGCTACATGCCTGTCACCAGATTCCTGCTGGAACGTTTAGTAGCATGTCTGAAAAATAGGAGCCACCTTTTCTTTCTTTTTTAATTTTTTTAAATTTTTTTAACTTTATTTTTTATTTTTTTTTAATTTACATCCAAATTAGTTAGCATATAGTGAAGCAATGATTTCAGGAGTAGATTCCTTAATGCCCCTTTCCCATTTAGCCCATCCCCCCTCCCACAACCCCTCCAGAAACCCTCAGTTTGTTCTCCGTGTTTATGAGTCTCTTCTGTTTTGTCCCCCTCCCTGTTTTTATATTATTTTTGTTTCCCTTCCCTTATGTTCATCTGTTTTGTCTCTTAAAGTCCTCATATGAAGGAAGTCATATGATTTTTGTTTTTCTCTGACTAATTTCACTTAGCATAATACCTTCCAGTTCTATCCACGTAGTTGCAAATGGCAAGATTTCATTCTTTTTGATTGCCAAGTAATACTCTGTTGTATGTGTGTGTGTGTGTGTGTGTGTGTGTGTGTGTGTGTATATATGTATATATATACACACACACACACATATATATATATGTATATATATATACACCACATTTTCTTTATCCATTCATCCATCGATGGGCATTTGGGTTCTTTCCATACTTTGGCTATTGTCGATAGTGCTGCTATAAACATTGGGGTGCATGTGTCCCTTCGAAACAGCACACCTATATCCCTTGGATAAATGCCTAGTAGTGCAATTGCTGGGTCGTAGGGTAGTTCTAGTTTTAGTTTTTTGAGGAACCTCCATACTGTTTTCCAGAGTGGCTGCACCAACTTGCATTCCCACCAACAATGCAAAAGAGATCCTCTTTCTCCGCATCCTCGCCAACATCTATTGTTGCCTGAGTTGTTGATTTTAGCCATTCTGACAGGTGTGAGGTGGTATCTCATTGTGGTTTTGATTTGTATTTGTCTGATGATGAGTGATGTTGAGCATTTTTTCATGTGTCGGTTGGCCATCTGGATGTCTTCTTTGGAGACATATCTATTCATGTCTTTTGCCCATTTCTTCACTGGATTATTTGTTTTTTGGGTGTTGAGTTTGATAAGTTCTTTATGGATTTTGGATACTAACCCTTTATCTGATATGTCGTTTGCAAATATGTTCTCCCATTCTGTCGGTTGCCTTTAGTTTTACTGATTGTTTCCTTCACTGTGCAGAAGCTTTTTATTTTGACGAGGTCCCAGTAGTTCATTTTTGCTTTTGTTTCCCTTGCCTCCGGAGATGTGTTGAGTTGAGCTGAATTACAAACCATTAGCTACATGCCTGTCACCAGATTCCTGCCGGAACGTTTAGTAGCGTGTCTGAAAAATAGGAGCCACCTTTTCTTTCTTTTTTAATTTTTTTTAATGTTTATTTTTGAGAGAGAGACAGACAGAGTGTGAACAGGGGAGGGACAGAGAGAGAGGGAGACACAGAATCCGAAGCAGGCTCAGGCTCCCAGCTGTCAGCACAGAGCCTGATGCGGGGCTCAAACCCACAAACTGTGAGATCATGACCTGAGCTGAAGTTGAACGCTTAACCAACAGCCACTCAGGCGCCCCGGTAGTGGCCACCTTTCTAAATGAATTACAGGTAACAAGGGGACAAGTGGTTGCCTGAAACACCTCGTTTTCGAAACAAAGGTTTTGTGCCTAAGAACCACCCTAATGAGACATTTTTAATAGCTTTATTGAGATGTAATTTATATACTATAAAATTCACCTGTGGCGCGAGTATAGTTGGATGAATTTTAGTAAATTTAAGCAGTTATGCGGCTATCATCTCAGTCCAAATCCGGAACATTTTCATCCTAAAAATCTCCCTTGTGCCCATTGAACCACTCCCTTCTCCCACCCCCAGCCCCAGAGAAATACTGATCTGCTTTTTGTCCTCATAGTTTTGCCTTTCAGAAATTTCATGTAAGTGACTTGTACAAGTGTTTTTTTGTGTCTGACTTCTTTCACTTTTGAGGTTCATCCGCCTGTACCAGGCACCGAAAGGTTGTTGCTTTTCATTGCTAAGCAGCATTGCATCGTATGGATGTGCCTTCCAGGTTTTGTGTATCCATTCCCCAGGCAACGGGTATTTGGATTATGTCCAGTTTGGGGCTGTTATGCATAACGCTGCTCTGAACTTCCGCGCAAGTCTTTACGCGGATGGCCATCTGTCTGCATCTGTCTTCAGCTCCCTTTACCTGTAGGGTGCTAGGGCTGCTGTGAATCATTTGCAAAGCTGAAGAGAAGAATGAGAGCAGGTGTATTTATTTTTAAGAGCCAGAGTGAGCAAGACTGGGGGAGAGGGGCGGAGAGGTAGAGGGAGAGAGAGAATCCCAAGCAGGGTCCATTCAGTGCAGAGCCCATCATGGGGCTCGATCTCATGACACTGGGATCAGGACCCCAGCTGAAATCAAGAGTCAGATGCCCAACCGACTGAGCCCCCCAGGTGCCCCATGAGCAGGTGTTTAATCTGTGAGTTGCTCCTTGGCTCCTCGTGCCCTCCAGGTGCTGTGTGAGCACAGCCACACCCTTGGCTTTAGGATCCCTTCCCTCCAGGAGCCAGGAGCTCTCAGCCTCCCAGGGGAGGCAGCCTCAGGCCCTGCTAGCTCTCAGGACGTCTAGTCCATCTGTCCAGGACGAGCTTCATTTTTGCATGAAGGCCAATTTAGGGTAAAAGATTTGATGGGGTTTGCTTTAAGAAAGAAAGAAAGAAAGAAAGAAAGAAAGAAAGAAAGAAAGAAAGAAA